CGAACCCTGCCACTGAGGCCTTCGGTGGAGCTCTCTATGTCCCTGCGGGGCCACGAACCGTGTGAGGGGTGCGCCAATAACCGCCATGTGAGGGGTGCCTATGGGGCGGGGCCGCCATGCGAACCCTGCCGAACCCTGCCACTGGGCCTTCGGTGGAGCTCCCTATGGGGCCACGAACCGTGTGAGGGGTGCGCCAAAATGAGGCGGGGCCGCCATGCGAACCCTGCCACTGGGGCCTTCGGTGGAGCTCCCTATGGGGCCACGAACCGTGTGAGGGGTGCGCCAAAATGAGGCGGGGCCGCCATGCGAACCCTGCCACTGGGGCCTTCGGTGGAGCTCCCTATGGGGCCACGAACCGTGTGAGGGGTGCGCCAAAATGAGGCGGGGCCGCCATGCGAACCCTGCCACTGGGGCCTTCGGTGGAGCTCCCTATGGGGCCACGAACCGTGTGAGGGGTGCGCCAAAATGGGCGGGGCCGCCATGCGAACCCTGCCACTGGGGCCTTCGGTGGAGCTCCCTATGGGGCCACGAACCGTGTGAGGGGTGCGCCAAAATGAGGCGGGGCCGCCATGCGAACCCTGCCACTGGGGCCTTCGGTGGAGCTCCCTATGGGGCCACGAACCGTGTGAGGGGTGCGCCAAAATGGGGCGGGGCCGCCATGCGAACCCTGCCACTGGGGCCTTCGGTGGAGCTCCCTATGGGGCCACGAACCGTGTGAGGGGTGCGCCAAAATGGGGCGGGGCCGCCATGCGAACCCTGCCACTGGGGCCTTCGGTGGAGCTCCCTATGGGGCCACGAACCGTGTGAGGGGTGCGCCAAAATGGGGCGGGGCCGCCATGCGAACCCTGCCACTGGGGCCTTCGGTGGAGCTCCCTATGGGGCCACGAACCGTGTGAGGGGTGCGCCAAAATGAGGCGGGGCCGCCATGCGAACCCTGCCACTGGGGCCTTCGGTGGAGCTCCCTATGGGGCCACGAACCGTGTGAGGGGTGCGCCAAAATGAGGCGGGGCCGCCATGCGAACCCTGCCACTGGGGGCTTCGGTGGAGCTCCCTATGGGGCCACGAACCGTGTGATTGGTGTGCCGAAAGAGACATGCGGAGGGTGATGCTGATGATGACGCCGAATATCATGGTGATGTTGATGATGACGATGATGATGATGATGATGATGATGATGATGATGATGATGATGACGATGATGATGATGATGGCAGGAGGGAGGGGGCAGCGGGAGGAGGAGGAGGAGGGAACGCGGGGCACCGTCTCTTCAAAACGAGGACCCAACACCACAGGATGGTTGGGAACAACTCGTGCAACATGTGCGGCTGGACTTGGCAAAGCCATGTCGAGCTTTGCTCTCAGCTAGGGGATCGAAGCATCTCCGTCATTCACACATCGGAAGAACGAAAGTTTTCGATGTCTCTTCATGGAGCATCCATCAGCATCTGTGGGAAGCCAAACTCCAAATGGTGAAAGCCCCCACGCAAGAGCAATCCGAAACGATCCGCACAATGCTGAGGCAAGACGGCATCGCAAGATCCAGAGCAACAGCGGCCCATGAGGCATTCGTGACCAGAAGCGGGGAAACAGTGCCGGCCCTCAGCTATTGGATCGAAGCGTCTCTTTCATTCATTGGGGGGCGGAAAGATACGGATACGTGTTGTCCCCGGACCTCTCTTGGGGTGCGTTCTGACCAGAATTTCGAGGCGAATCCAGCGGTGACAACGAGGATTCCCCAGGAGGACCAGGAAAGGCACGTTTTCTCCCCCGAATTCACACATCGGAAGAAAAGAAGTGTTCGAGATATCACCATCGAGCATCCGCACGTGCGACAGGCCACGCTCGCATCCGCGCACGTCCCGTGCAGGAGCAGTCCAGAGCGCTCCGAAAAGAGACGCCGCGGCAGGAGTGCCGCGCACGCGCCGGGGGGAGCAGCGCCTCGTGCAGCAGATGTGTGGCTGAGCTTGGCAGAGCCACGTCGAGCTCTGCTCTCAGCCAGGGGATCGAAGCGCCTCCTCCGGGGGCGGAAAAGAGGGGGGTGATGACTAGGGGGGGGTGGATATCATGGCGTGAGCCATGGTATTTCCTCAGATTTCATGGCGCCTCTTCTTATTTCATTACGTCCCTGGCCCCCCCGCTGGGCCGCGCACATGCCGCCGGTCATGATTTGCACCCCCCCCTCTCGGACACCCCCCTCTTGGCCGCTCCCACGCATCGGAAGAGCGAAAGTTTACGACGTCTCTCCATGGAGCATCCATCCGCACCTGTGGCAAGCCAAACCCAGAATGGTGGGTGTCCCACGCAAGAGCAGTGCAGAACACTCCGAGAAGACGCTGAAGCAAGAGTGCCTCGCAGAAGCCGGAGCAACAACGACTCATGAGGTATTCGTGACCAGAAGCGGCGAAGCCGTGTCGAAAGTTGTCTCAGCTACGGGCATCGAAGCGCCTCCTTCTCCCGCCCATCGGAAGAACGAAAGTTTTCGAGATCACATCACCGAGCATCCTCCGCATCTGCGACAAGCCACGCTCATATCCAGGTTAGACCCGTGCAAGAGCAATACAGAACGCTCCGAAAAGACGCGGTGGCAAAAGCTTCGTGCACGCGATCGGGCAACAACACCTCGACCAACATGCACAACTGAACTTGGCAGAGCAATGTCGAGCTCTGCTCTCAGCTAGGGGATCGAAGTGTCTCCTTCCTTCACACATCGGAAGAACGAAAGCTTTCAAGATCTCATCATCGAGCCTTCTCGCTTCGTATTGGATTATGAGGCCTCAATTTGGATATCAGGTCGCCCAAGATGACTCGCAGTGGAACCCAGAAAGGCTCCAAAAACGGCGCACCCGCAACGCCCCAAGGGGGCTCCAAAAGAGCCTCAGGGAGGGAACAGATGGTCCTGAGAAAGCCCCAAGAGGCCCCAGGATAGTACTAAGGCGTCCCAAGATGGTCCAAGACAGCCCCCAGAGAGCCTTCTGAGAAGCCCCAAGAAGCCTGTGAGAGGCCTCCAGAGCCCCCAGGCACCGCCCCGGGAACTCCAAGGAGGAGGAGGAGGACGAAGAGGAGGAGGAGGAGGAGCGCCCAGATGCGCCGACATCGCACGAAGGAGCTCTGAAGAACAGAATACCAGTGTGTCCCCACATGTTCCATGATGACTGCCGTCTCGTGCTTTCGAGTGTCGGTGGTGACTCTTGGATGGGGGGGGGCGTGTCCCGTTGAGTGCTGCCCCTTCCTACCAAGCAGGTGTTTCTCCCCCACGCGGACTCCACAACATACGTCTGGCGAAACACGAGCCAAGCAGCGACTTCCCAATCGTCGCCAACACGAGGATAGGTGATGGCAACATCGACATACCACGGGCCAGCGGAATGAGCGAAGCAAATTCGTTTTAAGACTCCCGAGACTGCTACTACTACTACAGCTTCTACTAGAATTCCTACTCGGACTTCCACTGAGACTCCGACCGAGACTCCTCCTACGAATCCTACTGTGCTACTCTGATTCCTAATATGACGCATACCTTCCAGCATCGAGGAGCGGCCCGACCCAGAAAACACCGTGAAGAACTTGCCCCAGCTCCTCCCTCCGACCGCACGCTGCAGGCGCCCCCTTTGCTCGCGAGCGGTGGCCAGTGGAGGGGGGCGTCGGGACGGAGGAAGGGGGGGCCAGCATCAGGAGGGGAAAAAACACACAGACACAATTAATCGGGGATTCCCAAAAAATATTGGACAATATGGGCAGTGGGGGGGAAGACAGAAACCCCGAAAACATGGGAAAATCTGGGGGATATCTCTGTTTGTGTGTATTTATTTGTGTGTCCCAGTTCCCCTTCACATCAGGAGGGCGGCTCGAAGATCAGCTGGCGTGGCTGGCAGGTCTTCCTGACGCCCCCCGGCGCAGGAGGCGCCAATATGGGAAAATATGGGGGATATTGTTATTTGTGTATTTATTTGTGTGTCCCGGTTCCCCTTTACATCAGGAGGGCGGCTCGAAGATATCAGCCGGCGTGGCTGGTCTTCCGGACGCCCCCCCCCCCCGGCGCAGGAGGCGCCTCATGCATCGAAGAAAGGCGCCCGGCGGCGAGGGCGAGATCGGCGGCACGCCGCAGCACTCGCCACCCCCCCCCGCCAGTTTGAAGGGGAACTGGGACACACAAATGAATACACAGTAATAAGAATATCCAGGGGCCCAAGGACACACAAATAGAAATGCACACAAATAAACATATCCCCCATCGTTTCCCATATTCTCTGGGTTTCTGTCTTCCCCCCCACTGCCCATATGTTCCCCTATTTTCTCGGACATCGAGGATTGATTGTGTCTGTGTGCTTCTTTTCCCCCCCGCCAGCTGCCGCCCCGGGGGGCCGGGCGCCGGGTGCCTCTGCCGGCCGAGGCTCCGCCACGCCGCCGCCCCGCGGGCGCGCGCCCGCCCGTGCGCCGGGTGGGTCTGGCGAGGACCTGCCACCTTGCCGTCCGCTGCGCCCGTGGGCGCCACGTGGGCGCCCATTACAGGGCAGCTTCTCATACATAGGATTTTGAAAAATATTGGATTGTCAAAACATGATCAATTCACTAATAGATCTATGCATAAATCCATCACTGTTTTTAATATCAAATCCCTTTATTTTGTTATATATACATGATCCGCACGCGGAGCATGTATTAAAAACGGCACTGCACGCTGGGCGGGCCCCTCTTTCCGCTCCCACCGGGTGGTTGTTGGGCATGAACTCAGGCCGCTGGCGGCCGTTCCACACGATCCGGGCACCCTGGGACACGCTCCAGGCGAGGCGCGCCGGCTGGAAGGCATCCCGAGGATGGACAAACGCAAACCTCGAAATCTCGGGCCGACGAATCGGCAGAAAAACAAAAAACAAAAACGACAACAAAAACAAAAAACAAAAACGACAACAAAAACAAAAAAAACGAGGCCGGAGAAACACCGACGAAACGCCGAAAGCCTCGAACCTCGCAACCTTTTGCCGCGAGTGCGGGGCCGAGGC